AAAAAGCAATGTATTTTCAATCCTCAAATCAATGTGCATGAGTTCCCAAACTGAGATGTGCGATGGCTGAAGCAGAGTGGGCAGTGAGTATAAATAAGAGCCCCCAATGATTGGGTAGGGACTGTCTGGCCTACAGGCCTTATAAGTGAAATCATTTATTTGGTCTGGCCCTGCTAAGGCATTATGGATAAATTAATTAAATGTTTGACCAAACATAGCAGGGTAATTTTTAATTTGATAACTTTGTATGGCCTGTGAATGATGTTAAAAATATCCAAATGGCCCTTTGCAAAAATAGATTCCTCACCCCTAAAAAGTATACAGCCTCTCAACAATCCAGACAACGTCCTACTTGATGTTATATCTTCCTTTTAAGAGCTCTCCTCGTGGGGTCTCCAGAACTTCAACTCTAGGTCAGACCGGAAGATTGAGATTGAAGGTGGATTCCAGGCAAAGAGACTTAACTATCCTGCTGGTCCTGAGCATCCTGCATGTGCTGCCCTACATATCTTGGGAAGCACTAATTAGAGTGTGGAACCAACATAGAATGTTAAAACGTGACTTTTTAGTCAAAGAACTAGAGCTATGTTTTCAAAGTATGAGTTATAATCCTGCAGTGGTTTCTGAAATCACTTTATAGGCCTGTGGCCACATTTTTTTTTAAGTGGACAAAGTAGAACAGAAGAATATAGAAAATAAAATATCAGAACACATTACACAAAGCAAGAATAAGTATTGTGAACTTGTTTTAGGGGTGTGTGTATGTAAATACAGATACACATACATATATACATATATAAACACACAGTGACTACATATATACACAGTACTTATCCTATATAATAAAGAGGTAATATGCAAATTGACCCTCATGCCCTCACACAAAGATGGCCACCCCCCATGTGGTCAAAGATAGCTGCTACAAGATGGCCTGCAGTGGAGAGTAGTTATGGATGATCAGGCCAGCAGGGGGGGACCAGTTAAGGGTGACCAGGCTGGCAGGGGCTGGCAGGAGAGCAGTTAGGTGACAATCAGGCTGGTAGAGGAGTGGTTAGGGGAGATCAGGCTGGCAGGCAGAAGTGGTTAGGAGCAATCAGACAGGCAGGGAGGCGAGAAGTTGGGAGCCAGCAGTCCTGGATTGTGAGAGGGATGTTCAACTGCCGTTTAGGGCCAACCGCTGTGTGGTCCCAGATTGGAGAGGGTGCAGGCTCGGCTGAGAGACACCCCCACACTCAGTGCACAAATTTTGTGCACCAGGACTCTAGTAAATGTATAAATGGGTTCCACATTCTTACTCTGTCCAGGGAAAAACTTATTCTATTATCCCAAACTGGGACAAGAAATGCTTTCTAACTAATGTCAATGCAATGAGGTCATTAGCAAGTGTTTCCTTTATGACTAGTCACAATGGTATTTTATTGAAAATTAGCAGTTCACCTGATAATCATATTGTCAAGGCTCAGGGCAGGCTGCCTTAAGCTATCCCACAATGGCATATTGATTAATTTGAACTAAAATCACTGGAAGGGAAGGAAGAACTCTTTGACTCTCCTCTGTGGGCTCAAAAACAGGAAATACATATTTATACAGGTGTACTCCCTGCCCCTGAGGGACTGAGAGGCAACCTTATCATAAAAGGTATAAAATCCAGGGTTGAAAAAATGTGTTTAAATAAACCTTGTAATAGCCAAGCTTTGTGCACATTCCTCATTGATGAATCCACAAACATGCTTAGATTCCTTTCTAATGATCACTTTGTTTGTCTTGTTTATTTTCTCAAAAATGTCTTGTTTCCTTGTTTAGAAAGTATTAGTAGGTCCTAGTTCAATCATTTCTTTGAGCCCCATTTTATGATGTCAGCATTTAGTGGTGAATCTCCTTTACACATATTAAATTATTTTTTCTTCTGTTGATGTAGTCTTGTATCAATTTCTTATTTTATAACTAGTCCAGTCATAAGAACTAAAGAAGCATAGTGTGGGGAATTCTCTCCCACTCTGCAACAATAGTAAATGACTAATATTTTCAAAAAAGGAAAGAACATTTTGAGTAGTGGAATTAGTTTTTTAAAGTTTCCTCCCTATTTTCTCTGAATTTTTCTGTTATCTATAACAAGCATGCATGCATTGTCTTTTATAATGAGAGAAAAGTATATATATCTTTAAAACCAACTGAACATCAATGCATGGAAGAGGAAACCTTTTTTTTTTTTTCCCCACAAAGACCTTAGAAGGGGTGGTTGGGGGAGGAACCAAAAAGTAGAAAAATGTGGAACAACTTCTAAGAGCAAAATAACCACTGGTGGTTTTGGTTTTTGATAGGTTTCTTGATTTTGCAGTAAGTGCCTAGTTTGTGAACATTTTACAACCGACTGAAGTGCTTGAAGTCAGTAAAAATAAATAAAATAAAATGTTTAAATATATTCAACCTTTATCACTCCATAAATGTTTAAAATGGCAAACAGCTACAATAAACTGCACCAGACTTGGCCATTTCTCAGCAGGAAAGAGCTCTCGATACCATTGCTGATAAAGGTAGCAGCTTAAAAGTGTTCTTTAGTCGGTAATTTTGAAGGGAATATTTACAAACCACCAGCATTGGTTGACATTGAAAAAGTTGTTTTGGTCCTTTGGCCCTTTGAGTCACACCTACTAATTATTGATTCCAACTAAGTATGCAGTAAAAGGAAATTAAGCAAAAAATATTGTACCCTCAATGCGTTCTCTCTCAAAATTCATTTGGTTTGAGGAAATTTTATTGCCATTGCAAATATTTTTGCTACCTATCACCAAGAATAACTCTTTAAATGACTTACTCAGCACTCCAAAATTACTGGAATGGTGCAGTAAGAGAAATATTGAGAGCAATCATAATAATTAAGAGTTGCCAATTTTTGCCCAGCCAGTGTGGCTCAGTAGTTGAGCATTGACCCATACAACCAAGAGGTTACCGGTTCCCAGTCAGGGCACATACAGGGGGTTGCAGGCTCAATTCCCCATAGGGGGCATGCAGGGGACAGCCCCAACAATGATTCCCTCTCCCTTTCCCTTCCTCTCCAAAATCAATAAAAATATACTTAAAAAAAAAGTTGCTAATTTTTAAGCACAGATTATGTATGAGGAACTAGGTCACAAGGTCTGCATACTTCATCTATTTAATCCTTACTGTGATCTATGAATCACACATTCACAATATTCCCATTTTATAGATGAGGAAACTAAGACCCAGAGCGAGTGGGGCACAGATGTGGGTCGCAACCCACAGGTTGAGAACCGCTAGCAGGGTCGCCTAAGACCATCGGAAAACACAGATATTTACATTATGATTCATAACAGTAGCAAAATTACAGTTATGAATAGCAATGACAATAATTTTAAGGTTGGGGTCACCACAACATGAGGAACTGTATTAAAGGGTCGCAGCATTAGAAAGCTTGAGAACCACTGCTCTATAGTGTTTATTTAAGTAGTTTGTTAAAGCCTCTCCTATTCCTCCACCCTCCACTTGATTGAACTGTTTTTCGTAAGAGTTGGATTCCTTCCTCTATACAAACATTGCCACGTGAGGTTGAAATGACATTAGCTCAGGAGTGAAGATCTCCAGTTTTCTCCTGCCTCAGATGGATTCTGCCTTCTTGCCCATTATGGTAGGCTGAATAATGACCCCTCCTCCTGAGATTTCTGTACTGTAATCCCTGGAAGCTGTGGAGATATGACCTTATATGAAAAAAAACACACAAACTTCTCAGATGTGTTAAGGATCATAAAATAGGATATCATCCTGGATTAATCACCAGGTGCTTTTAAAAGGCAGTCAGGGTGTGAGAAGTAGAGGGTGAGAGTGCCAACAGAATCCGAGGTTGAAGTGATGTAGTTTGAAGACTGAATAAGGGGTCATAAACTGAGGATTGCAGGTCCCCTCTAGAAGCTGAGAAAGACCAGGAAATGGATTTCCCCCTAAAGCTTTCAGAAGGAATGCAACTCTGAGGACACTGCGGTCATCTCACAAGACCCAATTTGGACTTGTGACTTCTAAACTATAAGATAATGAATCTGTGTTGCTTAGGTAAGACTTTGAGTTTGTGGTAATTGATTATAGAAGCAATAGGAAACTAACACATCCATCTCGCAATACCTTCCTTTCTCCACAAAGAATAGTAGTGTCTTCCTAAAGCATGAACAAAAATACAATCTTGCATCTCTGCAGGTGCCCATAGCTGTTTAACATATCATCACAATATTTCCAATGTGATAAACTGAAAATAAGGTTTTTCTGGACCTGAGAATACTGAGGGGAAATATCTATGCAAGACATTTGCATGCTCAGAGCAACACTCATGGTATACAAATAGAATGTAATAGGAACCAATTCTGTAGGTTTGCCAAATGCCGGGTTCATTGGAGGCAGCAATGTGGGTATGAGAACTGTTCTTAACATTTCACTTTTGTGAAATGTCAACATTATCAGAGGACCAATAAAGAGTTAAATATTTTAATATAATTCTCTGGAAAATATAGATATAATTAGTTAAGTAGTAGAGGTTCTGATTTTATTTTTATTAATTTCTAATACTGAGGAAGAGTATAAACCTTAAGGAGATAAAAATCAGAGTCTGATTAATTTTTTTACAAAGCAACCCAGGAAGGCTTAAGTGCTATTAATATTTATTGATGAAGCTAATTATAACATTAATACATAAATAAGTAGCTATGAAGTAATGCAATCATGTAAATATGCAAATATACCTCAGCCAACATATAGCACCAAATAAAACCAGTGTTTATTAAAACAACCCTTCCTTCAAAATATACTTTTTCTTAAAATTCTGGAGTGTTTTTTTTTTTCTTATACACAATTATAATGCTTTGCTCTATTAAGAAATATCACAACTTGATTGATTTTATTTGTTTAGAATTTGAAGGATGATAAGACATAGACTTCCCACGGTTAGATTGAAAATGAAAAAGCAAAGCAAAAGATATCATACAGTAAATGCACAGTTAGTCAGTTGGTGGTTTACTTTTCATAAAATTCTTGATGATTTTCTTATACACGGAGGTATTTGGGTCCAGGCAAATTTTCTTTCCATTCTTCAGTGTGACTCTGCCAGGGAAAAGAGAAGGAGGTGAGCCCATTGGTCTCTGGGTTTGAACAAAGGTGGAGCGGGGTGCAGGGGGGCCATGGGCAAAAGTGGAGGAGGCAGAGTGTGGGCACAAGCAAGGGAGAGGACTCACATCATTTGGGTGTTGGGGCAGTGGAGTCCAGCCCGGATCAACTCCATGCTGGCAATGTGCTTGGGATGGACTCCGGTGCTGGTCTTCACACACAGGCATTGCAGGTCCCCACCTCCTTCTTGAGGTTCTGCTGGAGAAAACGGGGGTGCGGGAGGGGGTGTGAGGGAGGGAGGGAGTGGTGACTCCTAGAATGACTTCTCAGGGATCTTTCCCAATTCGTTCAGCCATCATTTCCCCCAAACCATACCTCTTGCAGTAAGAAGCAATGCTGCCTAGATGGGAAGTGCAGGGGACAGCGCCCACACACACCTAACTTTGCTCAGTAAAGTGTGGTGGATAGCATAGTGGATACCAGCCCCCCTACCCTCCCTCTGGGTCCTGCCGGGCTTCCCCTGCCTCTCTCTGGCCCTCCCCTCCTCCCTTCTGTTCTCACCGATGACTTGGGCCACCACAGCCTGCAGGAGCAGCAGCCCCAAGAGCAGCAGCACGGGGCTGGGCGAGGGGTGGGAGGCGCGGGAGCCAGCTTGCAGACTCATGTCTGCGGAGGTGCCAACTGGAGAGCAGAGTAGCAGGACAATCCGGGCTGGGGCTTTGCAGGCCAGTGGTTCTGAGCCTCTCCAGCCCCGTTTTTATCCTCAGGGCCTCTTTAGTCCGGAAGCCTGGGGTGGAGGGTGAGGAGCTGTGGTGCAGAAGCCAGAAGTGTTGGGCTCTGGCCAGCCAAGATTGAAGAAGGGGGAAAGGCGGGGGGGGGGGGGGGGGGGGGGGGGGGGGAGGAAGCGGGAGCAGGGGAAGAAGAAGAAGTAAAAAAAGCCCAGGTCAGCTATCTGGGCTGCACAAGCTGGTAGCAGGATCCACACCCCAAACCGATTTCATGTACATGCACATTTGTAGAATTAGAAACAGTACCCGAATCTTACAAAATACATGTTCTTTATGATGTGCAACGGTAGAGTTCCCTGCAGTCACCAGGTTGCAATTTGCACAGCATGGACCCTCCGGACTGAAAGAGTTTCTTCTCTCAATGGCCCGCTTCCTTACTAAGAACAGCTCCTGCTTTTCTTGTTGATGACCCCTAAGCTGAGATGAGTGTGTTAAAGGTGAGTGGTATATCATTGCTTTCTGCCACTTACAGGCTGAATTTGATGGCTTGGCAATGACGCAGTCCTGAAATTCACCTGGCTGTGGAAGGCTTACTGAGTCTCTTGAATGAGGTCCGCCAGCTCTACCAACCCATCATCCAATTCACTCCAGGAAGCAAGGTCTACACCCTCACCAATCCTCTTACTCTGAGAAAAACGGTGAAAGTAATATCTGAATGCATGCTTTCTGTAAAGCATGCTGCCCGCGTGTTCCTCCATTCTGCTCAGCCAAGAGAAGTCAGGAAGGAGAATTTGCAGGCTCCATTCCCCAGTGCCTGCTGTGACCAGGTGTCAGGGTGCGATGGGCTGTGCTGTTGGTAGGACCAGGGATGCTCTCAGGACACTGAGCATCTGGGCCTTGTGTGGGAAGACATGGAGGACAGGAAAGGTTGGGAGATTAACAGAGACCATCTTCTTTTCCCTGAAAAAGAATGACTTTGGCTTTTGATCTGGGCAAAGTGTCCCATCATCGCACAGGCAGAGGCTCTCTGTCTCCCTGACTCACAGTGCTGCAGGACATCAGGAGCCACAGTGTGGAACTAGCTGATTACTTAGTGCTCATCAGGCCCCGACTTCTGCAGGGATGTGCAATTTAATTCCTGGGCCTACCATGTTCTTTCTCTTACTCCCTCCCCCACCACCTGCTCTTTCAGCTGGCTAAGTCCTATCCACATTTCTGTGTCAGCTTAAATATTACTTCCTCAGAGGGCCTTCCCTGACAGCTGTGGTTAATTGTGTTCTCTGTGGTTGTATCTTGCAGCACCCTCTGTTTTTCCTGTTTCTCAGAGATCATACAGACACGCACACGGGTTATACAAAGAGATATGCATGTGCCCCTGTGTTTAAAATGATTTCTTTTCCTAAATGAGAAGCTCCATGAGAGATCATAATGTTTGTCATTATCACACTGAGCTACAGGGACTCAGTGTAAAATTGCCACATTTAGTAAAGACAATAAATCTTTATTATCTTTGAAACTAGTGATGTCAAGGCTTTGACTTGTTCATGTATCTGTTTCTTCATGCAATAGGGGTATGCCTCTTTCTTAGTAAGTGCTGCATGTGGGGTGTGATTATTTGTCAACTTGTCTGCCTCTCTCACCAGACAGTGATCTCTTCAAAGGCAATTCTCTGTGAATTACACGTTTTAATATCCTGCATCCAAAACAATGGCAGATACAGAATATGTTTATGGGACTGAAGCTTGAAATCCCAAGTCAGGTTAGTGGCAAAGGGAATGAATAGGAAAGGTGGTTTTGGACAAACTTGTCCCCCAGATTTCAATATTTGAAGTGTAAAGGAATCCAGAGAGTAGTAAGTGACAACTAAATCAGTCTTTATGCATCTAACTAGAATAATTCTATATGTGAACACACACACACACAAAAAGACACCTACATCTCAGGAGTTATTATCATAGTGTAAAGACTGTGGCATGTCTCAGGAGCTGGTCCTGTTGGAGTTCTCTAGGAAATGACTCCAAAATTAATGAGATGGGAAACTATTTTGAATTATAAGAGAAAAACTGACAATGACTACTATTCTCATTTACTTCTTTATTACATGTTTATTTGGTATATTTTGGGTTAACTATTAAATGCATTTATTTTATAGACAAACCATTTTAAGACATTGAACTTATAATGGTGAGAAGATTATAAAAAGAAACCTAAATAATTCCAGATTTGTAAACATGAATGTTCCCAAAATTCCATGTATAAGTTGAAGGAGGTGAACTTCCTTATTCTCAGATACTTATTGTAGTATAGGCAGCATGCTATTCATGTATCAAGTCCTATTTTGTGTGCCAATAACTCTGTAATATATAATGTAATCTCTTCATTAGAGAAAAAAGAATCAAGGAAAGCAGTGTAGTTTGGTGGTTAAGAGCATATTTTCAAATCCCCACACTGTCACCTACTTACTTATCTGATCATGTGGCAAATTTCCTAATTTCTTTGAACTTCACTTTTCTTCTCTGAAATACTGAGGGTGTTAATCCTATATAATAAAGAGGTAATATTTAAATTGACCCTCATACCCTTGCAACAAGATGCCTGCACCCATGTGGTCAAAGATGGCCACGACAAGATGGCTGGGGAGGATAGTAGTGGACAATCAAGCCAGCAAGGGAGGGCCGGCAGGAGAGCAGTTAGGCATAGATCAGGATGGCAAGGGAGTGGCTAGGGGGTGATCGGGCTTGCAGGCAAGTAGTTGGGAGACAGCAGTCCCAGATGGTGAGAGGAACTGTGTGATCTGGCCTAAACCATCAGTTGGACATCCCCTGAGGGGTCCCAGATTGGAGAAAGTGCAGGCTGGGCTGAGGGACACCACTCCTACAGTGCATGAATTTCATGGACTGGGTCTCTAGTAGTAATAATAATAAATAATCACTAACATTTATATATGGGTTATTGTGTGACACGCTTTATTTTCACTGTTTGAATTTATTAATTCTTTTAATTTTCACATCAACTCTATGAAAGAAGCAAATATTACTATCCAATTTTAGAGATGAAGAAAATTAGGAATAGAGAAGTTAACTAAGTTGCCCAAAGTTAAACAGCTAGCAAGTGGTAAAGCTGAGTTACCCAGTTATTCTCTCTCAGGAAGACATGCTTTCAATTAGGTCATTTCTATCGAATGTTTTGCAAGAATTATTTATTTCATGCCTGTAAAACACTTAATAGATCTGCAGAGCACAGTACCACATTCAGCCAAGAGTTAGGAAGTAAGCTATCTATTATATTTTGAAACTAGGCTTGCTTACTTTTATCTTCTCTCTGCCATCTATTAACCAGCATTCTCAGAATAAAATGAGACTTTTTTGAAAAATATATTTTATTGATTTTACACAGAGAGGAATTGAGAGGGATAGAGAGTCGATGAGAGAGAAACATTGACCAGCTGCCTCCTGCACACCTCCCATTGGGGATGTACCCACAACTGAGATACATGCCCTTGACCGGAATCGAACCGGGACCTTTCAGTCCGCAGGCCGATGCTCTATCCACTGAGCCAAACCGGTTTCGGCAAAAAAAAAAAAAAAAAAAAAATGAGACTTTTAAAGACAGAATGGGAAACATATACACATTTAATACAGCATGACTAGGTATCCTGGATAAAGAAAAACTGCAGAAAGGTAAGGCTGCAAACTCCTACTACTCTAGGGAGATTAAGAAAAAAAAAAAAAATGACCGAAAGTAAATAGATTAAACAGCTGACTCATCACCTTCCAAAAATTTCTGGATTATCTTCTTGATCATGGGAGCATTTGAATCCAGGCAGATCTTCTTCCCATTCTTCAGCGTGGCTCTGCAAGAGAATAAATAATTTAGTGCATGTCCTGTCCTATCAGAGGGGATTGATGGGGCTGAACAAATAACAGTGATGAGGATTGAGGTAGAGATTTTCCAAATGAGTTAATAGTATAAAAGCAGGGACTTACATCACTTCAATATTGGGGCAATGGGGTCCTGCCTTGAACATCTTCAAATTTTGGATGTTCCTGGGATGAATGCCAGAGATGGTCTGTATACACGTGCAGCGAAGTTCAGCATAGCGCTCCTCTTGCACACTTCCAGCTGGGATAGAAACTGAAAAGCGGTCATGAGTACCTTTAATATATATGGACCTGATTCCTCAGGGACCTTCTTTGTGAATTGTAGCTCACAGGCCACTGTGAATATGATCTGAAACCCATAGTAAAGAGCCAGAGCTGAATGCCAGGCATATGGTAAGGTGCCCATTAAGCTTAGCTCCTCCATTTAGAGTTGTTAGTATAATGGCAATCCCCAACCCCAAGAGCTGGTCCTGTTGGAGTTCACTAGGAAAAGACTTCAAAATTAATGAGATGCAGAGCTATTTTAAATTATAAGAGAAAAACTGACAATGTCTACTATCCTAATTTACTTCTTTATTACATGTTTATTTTGGGTTAACTATTAAATGCATTTATTTTATAGACAAACCATTTTAAGGCATTAAACTTATAATGGTGAGGAGATTATAATAGGAAACCTAAAGAATGCCAGATTTGTAAACTAACTGTTTAATACACAAATGTTCCAAAAATTCCATGCACAAATTGGGGGAGGTGAACTTCCTTATTCTCTGATACTTATTGTAGTATAGGCAGCATGCTATTTATGTGTCATGTTATTTTGTGTGCCAATAACTCTGAGATATATAATCTAACCTCTTCATTAGAGAAAGAAGAATCTAGGAAAGCAGTGTGATTTGGGGGTTAAGAGCGTATTTTCAAATCCCCACTCTGTCACCTATTTACTTATCTGATCTTGTGGCAAATTTCCTAATCTCTTTGAACTTCACTTTTCTTCTCTGAAATACTGGGGGTGCTAATGGTAATAATAATAAATAATCACTAACATTTATATATGGGTTATTGTGTGACATGCTTTATTTTCACTCTTTGAATTTATTAACTCTTAATTTTCACATCAACTCTATGAAATAAGCAAATATTATTATCCCATTTTAGAGATGAAGAAAATTAGGAATAGAGAAGTTAACTAACTTGCCCAAAGTTAAACAGCTAGCAAGTGGCAAAGCTGAGTTACCCAGTTATTCTCTCTTTAGAGGACATGCTTTTAATTAGGTCATTTCTATTTTGTAAGAATTATTTATATCATGCCTGTAAAACACTTAATAGATCTGCATCTTGAGAGTTATTCATAGAGTTTAGCTATCATTCTAGTACATTAAAAACAGATTATCAACTAGTGACTTTAGTTGGTAAAAAAGAATAATTAAGGCTTCCCCTCAACAATTATGTTTAAATTAATAATATATGACAACAAAGTAATAACAAATTTTGATTTTATGCTAATAGTGCTGTAAGACTAGTGTGGTTATAAATTTAATGGATTAAGAAATAAATTAAATTTCTGTTTATTATAAAATAATTTGCAGCCTGGCAAAGTTTTAATTATAGTACTTATTTGCAATATTGACTTTAATACTAAAATTATTACTTTGCAACTATAAACTTAATATGATTATATACAAATATGCCAAGGTAAAATATTTAATACCAAGTAGAATCTGTATTATTATTTTTATTAATATTAATACTGGAGGTTTTGGTAGAGCTTGTTAATGCTTTTTAGCATATTATTTTTGCCTACGTGTATAAAATACGTCCACTTAAAAATAAATAATCACTGTCTACAAGTCTTACACTTTACCACTTTCTAAATTTTAGGGCTTGAAAGCAAAAAAATAAACATTAGAAAACTCAGAGAGTTCTCTTCAACAAGATATCCTAGGACTAAGACAATGAAAAACTCTACTAAGTGCCTACATATATTAACAAATATTTATTGATCAAGTGTTCTCTACTGGGCTCTGTGTGATTCCTAATATCACTGGCCACTATGGACTCTACTAATCTCCATGGGCACATCTAGTCTAAGAGCTAAATAGAGCAAGATAAGTTAACACAAAAGTACTATTTGGAAAGAAAATTTTATACAAAGAAATGCAAACCACAGTACCATATTCAGCCAAGAGTTAGGGAATAAGCTATATGTTATATTTTGAAACTATGCTTGCTTACTTTTATCTTCTCTCTGTCATCTATTAACCAGCCTTCTCAGAATAAAATGCGACTTTTTAAGACAGAATGGGAAACATATACACATTTAATACAGCATGACTAGGTATCCTGGATAAAGAAAAACTGCAGAAAAGTAAGGCTGCAAACTCCTACTACTCTAGGGAGATTAAGAAAAAAAAAAATGACCGGAAGTAAATAGATTAAGCAGCTGACTCATCACCTTCCAAAAATTTCTGGATTATCTTCTTGATCATGGGAGCATTTGGATCCAGGCAGATCTTCTTCCCATTCTTCAGCGTGGCTCTGCAAGAGAATAAATAATTTAGTGCATGTCCTGTCCTATCAGAGGGGATTGATGGGGCTGAACAAATAGCAGTGATGAGGATTGAGGCAGTGGTTTCCCTAATGAGTTAACAATACAAAAGCATGGACTTACATCACTTCAACATTGGGGCAATGGGTTCCTGCCTTAAACATCTTCAAATTTTGGATGTTCCTGGGATGAATGCCAGAAGTGGTCTGTGTACACATGCAGCGAAGTTCAGCATAGAGCTCCTCTTGCACACTTCCACCTGGGATAGAAACTGAGAAGCAGTCATGAGTAACTTTAATACCTATGGGCTTGATTCCTCAACGTCTTCCTTTGTGAATTGTAGCTGGCTTACAGCTCACAAGCCACCGTGAATATGATCTGAAACCCATAGTAAAGAGCCAGAGCTGAATGCCAGGCATATGGTAAGGTGCCCATTAAGCTTAGCTCCTCCATTTAGAGTTGTTAGTGTAATGGCCTCCCCCAGCCTCAGGATTACTGGGGCAGCTGATACCCTCCCTCCACCCTCTCCAACACACACACACACACACACACACACACACACATACACACACACACACAGCAACAGCAGAAGCAGCCACAGAGGAGGAGAAGCGGGGGCTCCACCTTCAGCTTCCTCTAAGTTTCTATTTCTTTCTCCGAGGGTGAAGGGAACCATCGCAGTCAGGAGCAGTGACAGCTGCAGCAACACCTGGAAGACAGGAGCAGAGGTGGCTCTGGTTCTGAGGTTCATGGCGGAGAGAACTGAGCTATAAACCTGGAGTTGTGCCCAGAACCTGGAGACCTCAGCGTGGACTGTTCCCAAGGAGTCTGCAGCTAAGTGGCTTTCTCGCTCTCCTGGTGTCTTTTATACACACTCCCATGTGGCCAGTAAGGACAAAAGGGATGGTGACAAGGGAAATGAACGCATATGGTAATATTTGTATAAGGGTAGTTATACCAACCCAGATAAACACCAGGCCAGTTAAAGTTCCTGCTAAATTTCATTCTGTGCATTACTTCACACACCCTCTCCCACTTTCTCAATGCTAATCTTCTTTACACATAGTTAACACTGCACTTAGGTAAGAACTAGACTGAAATGTTACATATCTCTTTCTTTGTGTAACAATGAAATATGCCCGTCTTTCCTATAATGTAATTTATGTGAGGCTGACTAGTGACTCTTTGAAAAGAGAATTAACTTCCCTTTCCAGTTGCCTTGAAAGGCAGGTGTTTCTATCTTGGTTGTTGATAAACGGTGGGATTCCTTTGCAGGGTGTGGATGAAATCAACTGGTCACCACCAAAGCCTCACTTTTGTGGTGTTTCTGTGTGCATGTGTGTTTTTTCCTGTCTTTGAAATGTATTACTTGTTTATAATTTTATTCAGAAAGTAGAAGCAAATTTATCCTCCCTTGTGTTATATATATTAAAAAAATACTTGTTTCTATTGTTTGAATATACCTTGAAAAGCAAGACCCAGCATCATTATTTTTCCTTTTCTTTTTAAAAAATATATTTTTATTGCTTTCATAGGGGAAGGAAGAGGGAGAGAGAGATAGAACCATCAATGATGAGAGAGAAGCATTGATTCTGCTTCTTTCTCTGCATGCCCCCCACTGGGGATTGAGCTCGCAAGCCAGGATGTGCCTTGACTGGGAATCGAACCCGGACTCCTGGTTCATAGATCAACCACCAAGTTACACCAGCCAGGCTCCCTTTTTAAAAAACTTAACACAGAAATATATCATATAACTTATTTTAAAGGATTCATACACTGCAGATGTATGTAGATAAAACATGCAAGTTTCTCTTTATTATTATTCCACAGTCCCACTCTGTGATAGTGACCATCAGTAATAATATGGCTTTAGTATTTTATTCTGTCTGCATTTATATACTCACATGTACATATACACAGGGACACATAGAATATAGAAGATACACATATATACACAGAACACAGAAGATACACATATATACATTTTGTCCTTCAAACATATGTCTCCAGCATCCTCTCATGCTACCACAATGTAGTTTGCCCCCTTCTTTTTAATGACTGAGTGACATTCAATGGCCGCAATTTTTTCCCCAACCTAAGTCTTATTGGAAACTCAAAGGGTGTTTCCAGTTTTACACTATACAAATTGCAATAAGATCTTCATTCCTTAATTCTCAGACCCTAATTAAGGGTCTTGATCTCAAACTCCACTTGATATAGACAAAGCCTCACAGAGATACAGAGATGGACCTACAGAGCACAAGGGGGCTTGTCTATGTTATTGTCTGAATCTCTTTCCCCTCTATAAGATTTGCTTCCTTGACTGGACTGTACACTTTTGAAGGGAGAGGCATGTCCAAGATTTCTTAGAATGTCTCATGGATCCTAGAGCATGTAGGGTAATGCAATGTACAGGGGTTCTAAACAGTGCTAATGAATAAATCCATGAATATGTATCACATGAAGGAACGTTTCTCTTTGTTTTTTAATCAGCTACAATTCTCAAACCAAATTCCACATGGCCCAAAGTACCTGTGTTTTTAAAAGATTTGGAAGACAGTAAATAAAGGATAAGGCCCTGGCCACAAGCCATCTTCCTTTGTCAACTATATTCACATCTTACACACTATTTAAACTTCCAATTTTCTTTTTGCTTCATTTTCAGACCTTTAAAATTCTAGAAGAAGCTATCAACATATTAAATGTACAAAATTATTTTGTATCAAAAGAATTATTATAATAATTTTCCAAGTTTAAAAAACTTTTAAAACAATTTTTCTTATCGTTTATCAGTTATCAGCTATACCTCCTTAAGTTTTTAGTTCCTGTTTCCCAATTTATTCCTTATTTTTCCTCCATCCCCATTTGTTATCCTCTTTTAACTTACAGTCTAGCAATAGAACATATTAAATTAAAATGATTTTCCGCCTCTCCCAAATCAGAAATTCATAGTTTAAGCAGCAAGCTTAAGCTGGAAATTAGTATCCTAAGAGGTGAGATGAGGCGTGAATTGTGGAGAGAATCTCAACAGAAAACAGTATGGAAAGCAAACTTCTTTTTAGGTCTTCCTGAATGATGACAAATTTAGAGCCTTTCCCCATCGCTAAGAATGATATTGTTAATTTGTAAAACAGATATGTTTTGATTCAAATATAAACTCAAAACCATTTCCAGAGCAAGATATAAAGTTTTGTTTTTTGTTTTTTGCTTTTTTTGTTTTTAAATATTTAATTGATTTTTTTACAGAGAGGAAGGGAGAGGTATAGAGAGTTAGAAACATTGATGAGAAACATCGATCAGCTGCCTCCTGTACACCTCCTTGACCAGAATGGAACCTGTGACCTTTCAGTCCGCAAGCCTAAGCTCTATCCACTGAGCCAAACTGGTTAGAGCAAGATATAAAGATTTTTTAAACATTATTCATAACATTTTTCTTTTTCTGAACATCACAGCCCTCCTCCCCTCTCCCCCCTGACGTACAATATTTATTGGCTTCACTGGACTCAAACACAATCCAAGTTTCTTTCCTGGTTCATTGAGTAATATTACTCAGCAGTTCCTAATTCTTTTGGGGAAAGACATGCAAAGTCTTTTGAACTAATGATGCTGTTTGAGTTAGCAGGTACCGGGAAGGAGGAACACATGTAGCACAGGATCATCAACTCATTGTCTTAATCAGCAACTATATTTTTTCACAAAGGACATATTGTCAGCAAGACTCATGAGTAAGCATTAAGAAGTTTCTTGAATCATTCAAATTTTACAAGCTTATTAGTCAGCATTTGAGGTAAATACATTTTTATTAGCTTTCATTTAGTTAATAAATTTTGATCATTTAATATGTTCCAGACATTACAAAAATTCTTTTCATTGTGTGACTTAGTCATTTAACTATTTCTGTTTATAAAGTGAGACCACAAATATTTGTGCAAAGCAGTGAGATATAAATACTAATCTTTCACTACCACTATAGCTAACAGCTATCATTGTCTCCATATAATTTTCTTTGATAACCTTGAATAGAAACACAGTACAGACTCTGATGAACTGGTAATACAGAAGTGGATAACAAATTTTTAAAATCATTATTAAATCCAAAGAAATTATCTTTTAAAATTATAACTTAAATAAATGCTAGAAAATTAGTGTCAGAAGTTCTAGGGCTTAAAAAAAAAAAGTTCCAGGGCTTAAAAATAACTGACAGCCTTTTTATGAATCTTGCATTGTCACCCTGGTGGGTTTTTTGGTTTTTTTTTTTTTTTTTTTTTTTTTTTTGTGTGTGTGTGTGTGTGTGTGTGTGTGGTAAGTTACTTTATCTCTTTTCCCTTTAAGACATTGTGTAAATAGCAGGGTCATCCAGGAAACATGGACATTTTGTAAAACTTAAGACATAATTTATCTGATAGCTATTTTAGCAGAAAATAGCCAGAGACATTGGAGGACCAATTTCCATTAAAATTAAGATATATATTAACTCTGACATAGGATATTTTAAACTGACACTTCCCAAGTATAGCTATTTTCTGCAAATTAGTTGTAAAAGCAATTAGTGCAGATGATCCCAGGGATAATAAAAACTTGAGTCAGTTTATCAAAACACTTTCATCAATAGATTGAAGTTATAGTCAACAAAAGATTCCCTATAAGTACTGAAATCAAATATTGTTGTTTTTATATAACTGAGTTGACAAGAATGATCCAGGCCTCAATTAACTGGGTCTCATTCCATTGTGCTGTATACTGCATGGAGGTGAAACATGGGAGGGAGAGTGAGTAGAGAGGATGAAGCAGTTGAGATGGTATATCTTCTTCAATGCTATCCTATATAATAAAAGGGTATATGCAAATTGACCCTAATGGCAGAATAACCAGAACAACCACTCAACCAGTCACTATGAGGTGCACTGACACCTCTTGGTTCCTTTCCCTGGCCAGCAGGCTCTCATTGCCCAATGGCGAATGGGGAACTGGGGGTGGGTAGTGGGGGATGCAGCAGTGCCAGGCTAAGGCTCCTGACCCACTGGTGGCCCCACATACAGACCCATGTCGGGGCAGGGCCAGTGAGCGGGCGGGAACCTCTCAGTCCCTCTCCCCAGCTGGCAGGCTCTGATGGCAAATAGGGAACCCAGGGTGAGTGGCAGCAGAGGGCAGAGCTGGCTGCCAGCAACTGGGGAAGATGGCCCTGATCACAGGCCAGGCCTAGGGACCTGCAATTAGTGCAGATGATCCCAGGGATAATAAAAACTTGAGTCAGTTTATCATACCCAACCACAAATTTTGTGCACTGGGCCTCTAGTTTATTATAAAGGATCACTTTAATGTTTTGCAGCCTGAGAATTTTTATTTTATGCTGATTAATATCACTTGTTGAACATTAGATGTGTGATGCTTCTCTTTGGATCCTTTATTCTATATAACAAGCCAACCCCAAACGTAGCGGTTTATAACAGTTTATTGTTTCTGATAATTTGGTATGCTAATGAGAGGTTCTTCTGCTGTCATCCTGCTTGAGCTTATGTAAGTGAGTGTAGTCAGGAGGCAACTGAAATGGCTGAAGAGTCCAAAATGACTTAATTTACATGGGAGGAAGTTGGCTAAGATTTCTGGCTAAGATTTCTGCTGAGGCACCTTGGTCCTCCTGCTCCTCCTCCTCTTTTAAGTAGCATTATTTTATTTCTCAGGAATAAATAAAGAATGAATGAGATGATGGAATGAAAAAGGGAGGGAGGGGGAGAGAAGGAAAGGAAGGGA